CAGGGGCCCGCCTAGTGCGCAAGCGCCGCCGCCAGGGAGGGGGGAGGGAGGGGGGGACAGGGAGACCAACCCTCCGTGGAAGGCCGCGGGTTGGGCGGTCACGTCTGAATAAAAAAACAACAACACGTGTGTTCGCTGCTTCCGCCGCTCTTGGTCCCTCGGCCGAAGGAGGCTCTCGAAGCAGCTTGTGCAGGATGCAAAAATGGAGTTTGGGCGCGAAACCAAGGGATGGCCAGGATCGAGGGGGGGGGGGGAAATCAGGTCGCGCTCCCAGCATCGGAAACCCCATTAAATCCGGCATGCATTCCGCCAAGGGTCCCCATTTGGGCGAATTGGGCGCCTCTCCCCTTGGAGGAGTGGGTTCCGGTGGTGGTGAAGGATGGATCCAGATGCTTCTCCANCGGTCCGGTCAAACGGCCTCACTTTCCTCCATGAAATCGTAGATCCTGCACAGGACTGGATGCCCTTCTCAGGCAGGGTCCCTTGTCAGCACCTCTGGTCAATGTCAGGATCCTACCTTGAGGAAAACCACAGCTTGAAACTCACCAGAGTGGAAGCCTGAAGTGGACCAGAGAAGCCAGAAGAGACAAAAATCCCTTCCCCCCACGGTCAAACGGCCTCACTTTCCTCCATGAAATCGTAGATCCTGCACAGGACTGGATGCCCTTCTCAGGCAGGGTCCCTTGTCAGCACCTCTGGTCAATGTCAGGATCCTACCTTGAGGAAAACCACAGCTTGAAACTCACCAGAGTGGAAGCCTGAAGTGGACCAGAGAAGCCAGAAGAGACAAAAATCCCTTCCCCCCAAGAGTAATATTTGAGGCACAAACAGCTGTTGAGTCTTTAAGGTGCCACCATATTTTCTGCTGCTTTATTTTGGTTTTTTCTTTCTCTCTTTTGTTTCTGCCTGACAGAAAATCTTGCAAGCAAATCTGGGAGGAAAGGGGTGTGAGGGGAGGGAGGAGGGACCCCATGCCCAGCATTTCTGTGTCCTGATCCTGGGGAGGCCGGCCAGTCCCCTTTGGGGGGGGAGGGTCCCTGGAGGGATCGTTTTTAAGAGGGACTCAGGCACGGGACGTTGGCACCAAAGGCCGGGACGTGAGACCCAAAGACTTGCCAACCTCCCGGTCGGAAACAGGCGGCTTTTTGAGATGCTGCCGGAAGGCGGTGAGAACCCAGCACACCCACGGGTGAGGGGAGAAGGAGGGGTCCTGCCAGCCGTGTGTGTGTGTGTGTGTGTGTGTGTGTGTGTGTGTGTGTGTCTGTTTTCTTCACTGGTGAAAAAAAAAAGAAGCCTTCCTCACGGCAGGCGGCCCACGGGGACCCCTCTGCTTGGCGACAGGAGCCAAGGGGGCCATGAACCGGGCAGGGTGGAGTTTTGCCCGATCTTCCACAGTTTGTCTCCTCATCCTACCTTCCCACATCCAGGCAGGAACCATGGGTCACGCATTCTGCTCAAAACAGTGGCGTGGCCGCGCGTACTGCTCTTTGGAGAGCTCGTGGCCGGTCCACGGGCGTGTGGCCGTCCAGAGGGCTCCAGGCTTTGAGTGATTTTCATCGCCTGGCCAAGGGAAGGCCAGATACTTTCACGGCGTGCGTATTGTCTGCTTGCAGTATTAATCCCCATGCCGTAGTGCATAAAAGAGCAGGCTGCTCTGAATACCTGTCCCTGGCCTCCTTTGCCTCTCGTTAGAGCTAATTGATTGATCCCACCGAGACAGCCAATTATTCCACGGGGGGAGGGGGAAGCCATCCGGCTGCATGGGAGCGCCGCTAAGCTTGGCTCAAGTCAGGGAGCCATTGAGCTTTAGCGGGATTGTGGTGAATCCTGCTGCTTCCCTCCGTCTCGCCTCTCTCCATTGCTTTTTTTTTTTTGCTGGCCCTGCCCGCCTTGTCCGGCTTTTGCCCTGCGTGCTGCGATCGCTTCCTGCCTCATGGTTTCCCATCTTTGGCTCCCACACAGAGTCCTCAGCTGCTGTCACAGAGTGTTCTCCCTTTCCCCCCTCAAATCGCAGCTGTCACTCTTAACAGACCCAGTCCTGGGTGGGATGGAAACCAACAGGCGCCAGCAGGCCTCCCTCTGCGTAGGGTTAAGCTGTTGGGGGGACCCAGCTTGGTGCATGTTTCTCCACGAGGGCTTTCTTTCCCCCCAAGTAAATGCGTATAACCTTAATGGACAATGCTTTGGGTATCTGTAGTTAGAGCTGTTTTTATGAATGGCGTGCTACTTATTGTGCTTCTTTATAAACCACTTTTGCTCGAGAATTAATACCTCACCACCACCACCCCATTCAGCGTCAGTCCTGATCCACCGGATGCCTTAACGGTAGAGGAGCGCTCAGTCTCTTATTCTACGCCCTTCCTGTGGAGTAACCAGCCTCAGCCTTTGAACCAGGGCTGTTCCTTTGAGAGGGGAGGCGGGGAAAACCCCCAACAGGTGGAGATGTGTCCGAAATGGGACTGAAACCACCTCCCTCAGTCCTTAGAAAAGAGGCTCCTTTTAAAAGTTGGGCGGATGGCCCTTCAGAGGCACAGCCAGAGAGATGAGGAAGCGTCAGGGCCTGGGCACAAGCCAGAAGGCTGAGAGGATGATGTCATATCCCATGCGGTGGGGGGGTCTTCTGGAGGTTAAGGGGGAAGGTCACTCCAGCTTGAAAACAAGAAAATAAGCAGAGAACACACAAACCTGCTCCAAATCATTCGCCACGGCACACGCCCCAGCCCCACCTGGGGTCACACAGCTTCGTACGAACATTAGACAAATTCGTGGAAGATTCTGCGACAGGAAAGGGATCCTGCGCCAGGGGTCCGTTGCATTTGCTGCCCAGCCTGCTGGTCTTGGCTTCGGCGGGGACCATGGCTCTGTCTCGGTTACTACCTGCCCTGAGGCATAGGATGCTCTGTTTCCTGCTAGTCATAACTGGAGGAAGCTGACCAGAATATGGGGAGCTGACCAAGACATTTGAAGTGACCGGAGGGCTCCGAAATGTCCTCTCCTGGGAGGCCAAGGTACAGCTTTGGGCACACTTGCTCACGTGTGTGTGTGTGTGTGTGTGTGTGTGTGTGTGTGTGTGTGTGTGTGTGCGCGCACGTGCATGTGTGTGTGTGTGTGTGTGTATGTGTGTGCGCGCAGGAGGCCCTTCAAACAGGCGGCCGCTCCCTTCCCTGAGCAATGCGTGCCTTTCCACCCACCTGACCCTGCCAGAGATCCCAGAGTCACATGCCTTCGTGGCAGCAGGTGAAGCCCCTGCCAGGTGTGCCAGCCAGGTCAGCAAAGGCTCAGGTGTGTGTGGGGCCTTGGGGGGGGCTCCCTGCCCCCAATCAGCAGGGAAGCTGGTCACGGGACTAGCTGGGGCAAGTGGAAGAGAGGGAGTTCTCCTCCACCCGGTTGTGGTCTGGCCACTTCCTGAGGGCTCACCCCGAATTGTTTCCTCCCTCCTTCCCCGCTCTAGTGGGGAAACCCCTTCCTTAATCTCAGCAGTATTCAGACCACAGCCAGCCTCCAGCAAGAGACGGAAGGCCACATCCGAGGGAGCCCGCTTCCCTGTTTATTGAATGATTCACTGACACAGAGAATTAGGGCAGAGGAAGACCCTGAGTGGTTCCTGCACTTAATGGGGCCAAAGGGATTGATCTGCAGCAGCTTGATCTGGCGTGTAGGTCTGATCGGAGCGCTTTGGGATGGCCAAGGGGCAGAGCCGAGCAGCAAGACAGCAGGCAGAGCCCTTCCCGTGGGATTTTAAGGAGCTCCAGGCCAACAGCTTCCGCGCAGAGGATGGCCGTTCCTTCTCAAAGAGGGAAGGAAGGAGAGTCTCCCCGGTGCAACTCCTCTCTTTTGGAGCAGGATCCTTAGGATGGCTGCTTATTTCAAGACACCTGAGTGCCGGGAAGGGTCATTGACGATGGTAGCTTTATTTATATAAACCTAATGGTAGGTCTATATAACTAAACCTGCCATTGGTGGGCCCAAACTAAAATCCAGTGGGAGGCGTCAAGCCATGTGTGGGTATCTGAGACTACCACCCACCCACCCAGTTTTCTAGACCCCAGGCTCCTTTATCTACCCTTTACAAGATCACCACCTAGAAACAGAGGCAAGACACACTGAGACACATACGCACAAGACTGGAAATTATCAGAATTTATTTGAATGGCTGATGTACATGGTCTCTCCAAATACAGAGTATCATTGTGAACCACTAACTGGAAATATATTACAGTTATGTAATTTATTTAAATGTATCTGTCCAAAAGGCTGTTCAAAAGAAGTGCCCCACAGTGGACGGAGGGTTTCGGTTTTGGTGACTTGACCGAACAGAGAGGTGTACAAACTCCCTCCTGCAAGGACTGATGGGCCAGAAGGGTTTGTGTGTCCGGGACAGAGAGGAGCCAGCTGTTAATTGGAGGGGCCAGCTGTTCTGGCAGCTTCTCATACTTGTGCTAAAACCTAACCGTCCCCTCCCTTGCTTTGCTGCTTTGGGGCTTCCACCCTGACCGGTGCCAGTTGCTAAGAACGTTTCTTGCAGAGAGCTGCCCCAGGCCACTGCTCAGAATTTACCTGCTGATGTTGTCTTTCTAAGAGGGAAGAGGGCAAGGAGGATGTTCGAACAGGAAAGGAGAGCGAGCGAGCGAGCGGTGGAAGGAAGGGGGGGTCCCTCTGCTGGAGAGTCCCTGCCCAGAGGATGAGGCAGGCGGGCCTCGGTGTGTGTGTGTGTGGGGGGGGAAGCTAGGTAAACAACAGATGTCCTGTGTCATTTTCCCTGCTGGAAGGCAAAGATCCTGGACCATCAGCCAGAACAGACTCTTAACTGGAGAAGACCCTGTGGGGGGCGGGAGGAAGCTGATGAGAGAAGAAAGGGAGGAAGGAAGGTAACAGATGGAAGAGGAGAGGAAAGCAACCGTCAGACCGACCTGGGACAACCCTCTGCATGGACCCATCCCTGCTCCCTGCTGGATTCTAGTGTCCTTGCCCTGACGCTTCCTGGCTGCTTAGCGGTTCCCATTCCGGGGAGAGCCTTGCCCAAAGCCCCCCACCCTGAAATTCCTTCCCAGCGCAGAGCCTGCTCCTCTGGGAGACCCAGCACCTGCCTTCTGCTCCCTCTTGGCAGCCGCTCCGCAAGGCCCCACAAGGAGCCCCTCACGGGCCACAGCCTCCCAGAGGAATATTCGGAACCGAGTCTTTTAAAGCCGGCGTTGCCAGCTGCTCTCTCTCTGGGTTGGTTTCACAGACGGTTCCTTTTTTCCAAGATGTGAGTTAGTCCTGAACTGCCTTTCACGATTCTCCAGTTTTTTTCCTCTGTCAAGGGACCAAACGTTTTGCCTGCGCTGTCATGGGGAGGGGGAGATAATAAGCCAAAGTGCCACGGCGCCTTCGGCTGTCTGCCTGGCGGCCCTTCTTGGCACGAATCTGGGCTAGTAACGCTCACAAGCCTGTTCTATCAAGACGTTCCCTTCGGACTGACCGGGAGGCGCCTTCCCAGGCCGAAAGAGCCAGCTAAGGCCTGTGGAGCACTTGCTCTCTTTTGGAAAAGCACCCTTGCACATGCTCTTCGGGTTCAGCGCTGCCACTGGCTGGGCTGGCAAAAGACTGTGTGCGCATGCGGGGGTGGGGGGAGGACTCGTCTCTTCCTGGACATGCAAGGGATGGGGTGCTGGAGAACCTGCAGCCTTGAATTAGCTACAAACTGGGTGATGGGAAGCAAAACTGTGGGAATGGAAGGAGAAGCCAAAGCATACAAATACTGGCAAGGACAACCCGGCTGTAAAACACAGCAAAAAAAGGACTGGAAGAGGAAGAGAAGGAGGAGCAGAAGGAAGAGCACACGAAGAGTCAGAGAGGTTCAGCGGCCAGCAAAACCAGGGGCCGTGCCCCATTCACTGCCTAGCTCTTACAAAGCGGATGCTACGGCTCACCATTCCGGACTCGCTCTGGCAGCTTCCTGTGCCCATTGCACCCTCAACCTGAAGCACCTGAAGCCACCTCAGGCAGGGCCAGGCTTCCCATGACATCTGCTGGAAGAGCCCTCTGGACCCTAACTGGTGCTGAGGGCTGACCCTCCTGAGTGGGGAAAGGATGCCTGCTGCTTAGTTTGCAGGCAAGGCAGACTGCAGATTCCCCGGGTTTTTCCAAGTCTTGGGTAGGAAGCAGAGAGGCGGAAAGGAACGGCAGGACGGAGCGAAGTGGCAGGAAGGTGCTGCCCCCAAAAGGGCAGATGATGGTGATCCGTGAGGCCAAGAAGGAAAAGCGAGAGATCTACAGTATGGGATGGATTCTCTGGTCCTCAATCCCACGTAGAGCATCCAGGATGCTGCACGAACTAGTTACTGCCCCGGTTAAAGGCAAGACATGTTTATGCTCCTCCTAATGTCAAAGGGCTAGTTTAATTAACACTTTCTCATCACTTGAATCCTTCCTTCCTTCCTTCCTTTTCCTACCTTCTTTCCTTTTCCTACCTTCCTTCCTACCTTCCTTTTCCTTCCTTCCTTTTCCTTCTCCTTCCTTCCTTCCTTTGCACTCAGGGCCATAGGCAAGGGTCAGGGACCGCCGCTAGAGACAGGTCACTCCTTTCGATTGATGGGTTCATGGGCTGTTACTTAAAATGACAGCACGGATGAGATATGAAAAGTCAGATGTTCACAGTGTTTTATTCCCTCCCCTAGGCCTGCCCAGCTTCCCTGCCATCAATGCCCCGACTCCAAGCCCTCATTGGATTTTAGCTCTTGCCGGTACAGCACTCGAAAGGTTAGCAAAACTCGGCTTCTTGGACAGATAAGACATAAGCTCATTCACCAACAGGAACACAGGAGTGGTTGCACTGGACAGCCCGCTAATGTTTCTTGTATCGGTTCTTGGGTGTTTCGCCGCAGCCCGTGGTGTCACAGGAGAGGACGCTGGGCTTCTTCCCCTGGCCGACACTCCCCAAGAGATCGGGCAGCTCATGGGTTATGGCCCTCTCGATCTTCTCCAGGAAACAGCCCCCCATGTAGGAGCACTGCTGAGCGAGAAGCTTGAAGGAGGTGATGGGGTTGATCCCAAAGAAGTCCTTGTAAGCCTCACGGTTTGGGAGATCAAACTTGCTGACGTTGGTCTTGGCCAGGATGGTCTTAAAGATGTAGAACTTGTCCGGGTCTTCAACAATGTCCTTGAACACTAGCTCCCCATCGCTGAAAAAGGTCATTTTGTCTTTGTAGGTCTGCAAGTAGCGATCCACTAAGAGCGCGTGGATACGGACTCGGATCGCATGTTGGCGGATGAAGGCGATCTTGTTCTCCAGCCGGTTTTCAATCACCTGGTTGAGATCTTCCAGCAGCGAGATCTCTTCTTTCAGGAACAGATCCCTGTGGGTGTCCGGATGGTAATCCAGGGGCCAAAAGGAGCTGACGTAGACCCTGGGGGGCTCCGTGACATTGATGAGCGGAGCCAGGCTCCAGAACAAGGCTCCGTAGACGCGCATGAGCTCTTGTGTGGCCAGGCTGTCGGCCTTGTTGAGAATGATCCGGATCTGAGACTCTCTTCCCTTCAGCTGCCGGAAAAGCATCTCCAGCTCCAGGCCTACGTCCAGCTTGGTGGGGTCGAAGACGACAAAGATGAGATCGGCTCGGTCAATGAACCACTGGCAGACGTCGTTGAATGGGTAGCCTGTTCCGGAGAGGGGGGGGAAGGAAGGAGAAGAGCATCATGTGGGAGGGTGTCTGGAACGTGGACCAGCCCTTGCACGACATCCCCAGGAACCCCTGCCACCCTTGGGGGAAATTCTTCTCTGGCTGCACCCAGTGGAGAAACGGGCCCTGAAAACTGGAAAAGGGCCATTCAATTGTTTGGCCAAATAGTGAAGTCACATTGATGACAAACATGTACGTATACTATCTTGAAGTACTGAAATGTATTTGTTTATTTATCTGTCTATTCAGAATATTTATATCCCACACTTTTTCATGTGCCATCTGGGCAAGGTATAATAACCCTGCTCTCCTTTCTTTAACTTGTATTCTGTTCTTGGGCCCTTCTTCATTTCCTTTTTTTCTTAAATAGCTTTGCACAAGTGTGCAACAACCTGTTCTGTACCTCTGTGCACACTCAGAAAGAATGGCCTTAGGAGCAGATGTTGAAAGAATGAGAACTGGTTGTGAAATAGTTCAGTTGCCAAAACACCCAGGACTTCTGACTCAAGTCTCACCCTTTAATAAGTGGGGATTTTACGCTGGAGTGGACTTCCCCCTGGGGCTCATCCCCAGGACACCTTCTGCTTTGTTCCCCTCCAAGCCCTCCGAACATCTAAGGAGCAAAGGGTTACCTCGTTCCTGCTGCTTCCGGTTCTCAATTATTCCAGGGGTATCGACAAAAGTAACCCTTTCCAAAAGCTTATGAGGGACCTCAATCCCAATCAGCTTCTCCAGAAAGTTCTGCCCAAACTTCTCCAGGGGCGAGAAAGAGCGGGCGCTGTCTGCAGCCATCACGATCCCTTCAATGGTCTTGAGCTTGGAGCCATGCATGATCACGGTGAACTCCGAGGTGGTGGGCTCGGCCCCTGGGCAAAGAAGGAGGGTGGGAACAAGATCCAGGGGAGCCGTGTGGGACCGCCCCCCCGACTGATCTTAAGAGCTCCAGATCAGGCAGGGTGAAGGGGATGTAATAAAGGCATTCAAATAACACGGATGTTGGCATTCAAAAGCCGATCGCTCTCATAGCCCAACAAAGGACACACAGCACAGGAAAGTCCAAACTGCCCTGCCAGGACCCCCTTGGCATTGCTCAGGTCAGCCAGGCAAGGAGTCCAGCCCTCGAGTGCCATCTTTTAAGTGCGTACAGCCCAGGGAGCTAAGAGACATGGTTTCAGGTGACATGGAAGGCCCCCTTCCCCAGTGTCCTCCCACTGTTCCTAATTCCAGCCCAGCTCCAGGGAGGAGGATGTCCCTCTCCTCTGAACAGTAGCACGCCATCATCCTTAAACAGGGCTAGTGCCTCAAGAGAGAGGGTGGAGCCATTGTTCCCCCTCCAGAGATGGGGCTCGCAGGAAAATTTCTACGGCTGTCTTCCGGAGGAAGTTCCAGTGGCTCAACCCATTTCTTGGGGGAAATGATCACCAGCCTTTAAGCGGAGGACCTGCTGCTCGGAGAGACCACAGAGGCCTTGACTAAGAAGGTGTCTGCTCGGCTGACGGTGGATATCAAAGGGAGAAGAAGCCGAGGGAGGCCGAGGGCAGGAGAACCGGAAAGGAACGGCCACTCGGCTCCTCTTAATTGGCTCCATGCAGGGAAGCCAGAAGTTCCTCATGGAGACGGACTGTGGCTCCGGCAGCTAAGTGGGGAAGCCAGCTCAGGATGGACCCTGGCAGGATGGACCCTGCAGCGTGTGTGTGTGTGTGCATGTGTGTGTGCAGTCTGAGGCCTGGGCACACCCACTCTGTCTGCTTGCAAGGCTGGGCAGCGCCCTCCTGGTCCTAGCTGCAGACCCCCACCCCCACCCCCGGGCCAGATGGGGCCAGCCCCTGGGAGGCCTCCGGTTTAACCGACACGGATGGCTTTGTGCATCAAGCCCAGGGATCAAAGCAGGAAGGCACCTACCCGTGTAGAGCTGGTAGGGCGTGTCATCTAGACCCAGGAGGTAATTGATCATGGTGGACTTCCCAACGCTCCATGGTCCCAGGAATAGCACCATCGGCTTGGAAGTAATCTCTCCATCTGCAGTGGGAAAGGAAGAGCCGCACGGGGGGGCAGTGGGTGGTTGGTCGCTCCGGCCCCTTGTCTTTTCTAAGCAGCCCTTTCAGGCATCTTTCTCCAAAGAGGAGGGCAGCCCCAGGATATTTATCCTGACTCTCCAGATCCACAGAAGCATCCTTTAGCAAACTCAGCCAGCCAGTCCCTTCCTCCCTGCAGGCGATCCACGCCAGCCAGGGATGGAGGCGTCCCGACCCCAATGCTGCCAGGCTGGGGGGTGGGTGGGGAGAGACAGCGGCGCCCCACTGCATTCATTCACCTGCTTTCACCCATCGCCACCTCCAAGAGTCCCAGCAGCTAGAAAGGGAGGGAGGTCTCTTTTAGCCACACCAGCCTACCCCCAGCAAAGGCTACGGAGGCACCCCTCTGGATCCTTCCTGGCCTGAGATGTCTTGGAAGGACCATACCAAGGACGCATTTCCTACGTGGATCTTCCTTGTTTGCACACGTCTCAAGTAAACACAGCTGCATGTGAGAATGCACGTGTTGGTACTTGAGAAGCAGAGAGGGGGGGCACCCTGGGAGGCGTTTCATTCCCATGCAAGTGACAGGTAGCCATACCCACCTGTGGCTGAAGTGCCCAAGGTGCGTCCAGGATAAGCTGTCAGGCAGGAGAGGAGGGGGGGCGGGGAAAAGAAAAAGCAACATGAGTAGGAAAGGGTCTGGGGGGGGGGATGCTTGGTTAGGTGTCACTCAAGGGCGGGAGGTGGGTCCACCTTCTCTGAGAAAGGGCATAGAACCGATGGATAATTCAAGTTCGTTCCATTCCCGTCTGGCCCCATAAGAGACACCGGAATCAGGAATTATCCATTTGCCAGGAAAGGCACTCATGCACATATTTTCCAGAGGGGGTCTGCATGCAAATCCTATCCCAGTTTTCTTGTGAGAATCAAGAATTGGGTTTTTGTTTTCCCTTGCAGGCTGCCAAGAACTGGTATCTCTGTAGCAGGACAGATCAAGGAGCCTCTTTTGATCTTCTTTGGTGTGTGGGGGGGGGCAGCAAGGGGAGGACTGTGAGGACTTGGGAGGGAAGGGAAGGGAGAGCATGCCTGCGCAGGACTCAACGGGGGGGGGAGAGTTGCCCCACTTCGAACCCAGGAGGATTCGGAGAAGGAACTTTTGAGCCTGTTGTCCTGAGATGGTGGGGTCTGTTTCTGGTAGCACGACGGGCTGCCCTCGCCGGAGCTCTATGTGTGAGCAGTGCTTTCCACCCCCAGGCGGGACCCTCTGAGTTCTGGGCTGCCCGCGCCCGCCTGCACAGAAGGGGGTTGTGGCCCAAGGGTCCTGGTGCCGAGGCCAACAGGTGTCTGCACCTCGGAAAGAAGGACGCCAGGACAGGCGGGCCGGCCAGCAAGGAGCCTGAGCCTCTCCTCTGAGCTGCCCCTGCCTCTTTGCGGCTAAGGAAAGCCTAACGGAAGAGACTCACTCGAGTACACCCTGGGGGAACGACATTATTACCAGGCCTGGAGAGCCCCGAGGTTTGTAAATGGGTCACTTTTGGGGTGGGGGGGGGAAAGAAAAGAAAGACAGAGACATGGAGGAAATTCCAGACACAACCACAAAGAGCGAGCCTGGTCTGTGTCTACAGAAAGCCTGACGGAGCGACTGACTCCACGCAGAGGCAGGGAGGGCTGGCGCTGGGGGGGGTGGGGGGCAGGTGGGCAGGGGACGGGTTAGGGTTGTCGGGAGAAGGAAGGGCGGCGCTCCCCGCAGGGGGCCAACCCTGTTTTGCTCTAATCCAGGAGGTCTCCAGGACCTCGTGAGGGCGGACCTTGTGCTGCCCTCTCTCCTGGCTCCATCTCAGACCGCCCTGGCAACCTGGGCCAGCCCAGGGTCAAAGGGGGCATGAGGTGGGTCCCCCCCCGGCAGGCCCCGCTCCAGCCCTCCCTTGCGTTCTCCCACTACTTGCCCTACCTGTGATCTCGTGCTGTCGCAGCTCGTTGTACTTGTACGACTGTTCCAGGGGCTTGATGGACGAGTGGTAGATCTTCCGCAGCCGCTGCAGGATGGCTGCAGGGAAGGCAGAGACCGAGAGGAGACCCATCAGAAACAGGCTGGCCCAAAGGCCAGGCCGGTCTGCTTCCTTCTTCGTGCCTGCTACCAAGAAGGTGCCTTTCCGACCGGCGGAGTTCTCCTGTGGGACGGCTCTCCTGCGCAGCTGGGATGGGGACGCCTGGCCTTGAGCGACTGCCCCTCCCTCAGGCTCCTGTCCCCAAACCTTTGGATCAACACCGGCCTCACCTGCAGGGGCCCTTGCTGTGCCAGATGGCGTCCCCCTGGCACCCAGCAGGGAGCTGGGGGGCAGCCTGGGCAGAGACCAGCATCCTCTGCAGGAGCTACTGCACAGGGCCTCCTTCCTTCCTGCGCAGGAGCCTTTGCTCAGTGAGGTTTGGCTGGGCGGCTGCTCTCGGGGGAATCACGTGCCCTGTCCTGAGCCGAGCCGTGGGGTCCCTGCCTGCGTCCAAGCCCGTGTCACCCACCACTGCCGGGAGGAGACGAAGGGGCTGCCCTTGTGTGTGTGTGGATTTTCTGGTCCCGCAAAGGGAGCGCTTTGCAAGCACAGCTTTCCTGGCAGAAGAGGACACCCAGTGGAGAAAGGCAAGAAGGCAGGGGTAGACAGTGCCTTGTTGAAATATTGGCATCTCACGCTTTGTCCTGTTTGGGTGTTAGGGGAGGGCATACTACAAACTGATAGCATGGCAACAGTGCAACGATTCCCACTAAAAGGGAAAAAAATTAAAACCAAGCAAACTGTTGCAACAAACTGGTTAAATGCCTGAGTGAGTTTTCAAAACGTGTTTGCCTAGCACCAGAAAATGGGGAACTTCAGTGGTGCCCTCCCCCAGCATGCTCCCCCCTCCTCAGTGCCATGCTATGTCGGATGGCAACTGGCCTTCCACGGGTAGCTTGGGCAGAGGAACGAGTGTTGTGCAGAGAAGGCTGCAGGATTAGGGTTGCCAGATGTCAGGCAAAAGGAGGACATGTCCTCCTTTTTAGCCTAATGTCCTCCGTCAGGCAGGCAAAGATAAAAACCTTTAAAATGTCAGGCTTTTGTATATTTTATGTTATAATTTTGGATGGGAGGGGGAGAGGTGGAAGGACCCCCTTCGCCCTGGCTTTCCCCACCACCACCTGCCCGCCCACCCCCTGTATTTTGAAAAAAAGCCTCCATTGAATTTATTTTTAATTTTTAACATGACTGTTTCTTGGTCGGTTCACTAAGAGACATTTATTGGCAGCTATTGTAATAAAATTGTATTGACTGTGGGTTTAATCTGGAATGATTCAAATGAAACATTCAGTAGGTCCTCCTTTGTCCTCCTTTTTGTCTTTCTGTGTCCTCCTTTTAGTACCCGTGTATCTGGCAACCCTACGTAGGATTGTCCTGCTGCTTGCCTGTCCCACTGCCCGGCTGGGCCTCTTTTGCCCTCCCTCTCCTGTGCACCTTTTTTTTGGGGGGGGGAAGGAGGCCACTTAGTGGGACAGCAGCTGTGCTGTGGGCAGAAGGACCCTGGTGCAAAACCCGACAAGGCGGGGACAGGCAGACCGGGCTGTGTAGCAGCAGCTCCGTCTGGCTCAGGGGCCCAGGCCCTCCTGGCACCTTCACGTTGACCGCCATGCACTGCCCGGCCGTGCCCCTCGGCTGCTCCAGACTCCAGAGAGGGACTGAGGCCTGCGAGTGAGAGGGCTCCCAGAGGTGAGGTGGGCAGGCAGTCCAAACCCAGCCAGCTGGAAGAGCTGGGACAGGCAGGGGGTCCGGCTCTTGGGTGGCTTGCAGGATGGGGAAATGCCCGTGGTGTGGCCCCTTAAAGGAGGTCGGGGAAAGAACACACACACACACACACACCCCAACACCACTTGGACCCTCCGAGTCCTGGAGATGGAAAGGGTGGAGTCGGTGTTCGGATGCTGAGCCCAGGAGGGAAGGGGGCGGCCGCTGGCCCCTCTGGCTCCCAGCCCCCACCACAGGGACCCTCTCCTACTGCTACCTGAGTAGTCATCGGCCGGTTTGTCCTCCTTCAGCTTCAGGGTGCTCTCGATGTGGGAGCGGTCCCTCTTGGCAGACTCCCCCACTGCCGCCTCCTCCACCTCCTCTGCAGAGAGAACAGACAAACCCTCTTTGACTCCCAGGGCCTTTTTTGCAACCAAAAAAAAAGGGGGGGGGGACAGAGGGAGCTTTCCCACAGCAGGCTCATTCAAGTCTCTGGCACCATGGCGTGTTTCCCTGGCCCCGTCCTCTCCTTCCCCCGCCCCTCCGCCGCCCAACCCCAAAGGATTTCCGCTGGTGCCAAGTGTAGCTGGAGTTTTGTGCCTGGCCAGGGACCAACAGCTGCTAAGGGAAAATCTTCTAAATTTAGATACTGATCCTACTTCTGCGTCCGGACTTCACAGCGAGGGTCTCTCTCTCTCTCTCTCTCTCTCTCTCTCTCTCTGCTTAAGCAGTAATGAAAATAACCACCAAAGAACACTTTTTGGGGTGGGGGGGTCTTCTCTGACTGGACTCCACCAATATGTAAATGCAAAATAAATACTGGTACAAAGACATTTTAAAATGAGTCATTGTTGTTATGGACTGTCAACTTGTATTTGACTTATGCTGACCATCATCATTGGGGTGGGGGGTTTTTCAAGGTATGTGAGAAATTTAAGGAGTGGTTTTGCCGCTTCCACACACACACCCCCACCCTCAGAGTTTTCTGTATCCAAGAGGGCATCTGAACCCAGGCTACGTGAGTCCTAACCTGTTACTCTACCCGCTACACTATGCTGGCTCTCAAGAACCCAAAATATATTCTCATCCACTCCTCTTCCATGTTTGAGCATCTGGTGTCAAAAATGGAAGCCGGCGCAACTGAGAACATGGCTTGCAGACCTCAGGATGGTGTGCCTGGTGGGGTTTCTTTGAGAGCCTTCTCTCCAGCGGCTCTCCTGCAGCTCAGCAGTCCTGGGTTGCAACTCAAAGATGACAGAAAAGTCCCATCTCTCCCCCCCCCATGGGTACAGAAACTCCCACCTCCACCTCCTCAGGGGGCTCCATCTTTGCATTTTACAGAACAAGCTTTTGAAAACCCAGGACACCCTGCTAGTTGTCCAGGAGGGAGGGGCCTGGCTCAGGATGAGCGGCCTGGCGCCCTTCCCCAAACTCGGCCGACGGCCACCTTGGTGGGACACGAGGGCGCTGTTCCATTTCCGTCTTCCAAGACTTCGCAGGAACTGCAAAAGCATTTCAGGCACATGGGCATGTACACAAGCACCACAGCTGCATGCATGCATGGGAGACCGCACCAGGCACACCCCTCCAGGTATAGCACTCTGCCCATGTGTTACCCGGGAGCAGGAGGGCTCTTTCTACTACCTTGGTATTGCTTTCCCTGCTTTACGACGACGCGAAAGCTGATTCTAGACTTCCAGTGTTCTACGTCTTTCATTCTAAACAAATTCTTGTATAGGCCGGTCTGCTGTCGGCCTGCATTATACGATGCAAGTGCCTAGCAAGAAACCCAAAACATCCCTTGGACATGTGTGTGTGTGTGGGGGGGCTTCCACCTTCAGACCACTCTGTCTGCAGCCCCTTGAAAGCCCCTGGAGCATTGCTGCCAAGTTACTGCCTCTGGCAGCAAAAAGCCTCAGGCCGGCCATTCTGTCTGCGTGCTGCTGGTTCGGGCAGAAAAGCTGACAGCCACCGAGAGGTTTTTCCCAGTTCCCGAAAATAGCCCCGGCCGGTCGGAGGTCCAGTTACACCCTTGGCGTTAGTGCAGTGTGCGAGAGCCGGGGGGGGAGCAAGGGGCTGCTCTGGCATGCTTCCTGCCCCCATCCCCCTCCACAATGGCAGGTGCCTGTCTAATCACTGGCATGGCATGCGTGCTATGCCAACCTCTCCATTATCTGGCACAGTAGAAGCTGAAAAATTCAGATTTAAAATTCCTTTTCGTCTGTGTGGGGAAGTTATGTTCTCTCCCCCCCCCGTACTTGTACAGTACCTGTATCTATCTTTCCTGCTATTTAATTATTATCATGGTTTGGTAATGAGACCAAGTGCTTAGCTTAACAGCTATTACTTCTGGTTTGCATGTCGTGTTTCGGAAAGGTTAACTGAACGTCTCTGGGTTAATACCCTGATTCTGCAGCAGCCGAGACATCCGGGGTGTGTGTGTGTGTGTGCGTCCCTGGGTGCAATGGATTCTACCTATGGAAGGAAGCCCACGGCAGGAGACTGAGGGACCCTTTCTCTACCCCAAAAGTAAAGCACCCTTTCATCCTGAGCCTCCCCCATCCCGCTCGATGGGGAACTGAACCTTGGGCAGCTACTCTCCACGGGGGGCCGTGGCCCACCTCCCCTTCGAGCTAAAACTGAGGCGGATGGCAAGTGGGACGGGGGGGGAGAGAGAGAGGCCAGCCTGGGGCGCAAGCAGACCAGCCTCTCTGGGGCACGTCTGCAACTGTGCTCTTGGCTTTGGCAAACTACGGGGCAAGGAAAGCCGGCACCTCTCTGGCTTTGGGGGAGCTGGCGGACAGCTTCTCGTATCGGTGGGTTTCTGGGAGCTTCTGGGCTGGCAACTGCGGCCGTCGGGTCCACTGCTTGCGGGGGCTGGTCAGGCTCAGAAGACGTTGCCTCTCCTCTGCTGAGGGTGTGCTTGTGGCTGGAAGGATCCGGCCCTCTTTCTGCTTGGCTCGGCGGCGTCCCCTCTTCTGGGTGCTGGAGGTGGCCGTCCTCTGCAGGAGCCGATCCCAGGCTGGCCCCTTGGCCAGGAGCATCTTCTGAAGCCCCCTCCTCAGCCTCTTGGTCCAGGCCGCCCCCTTCTCCTCTCAGGCCTGCTTCCCCCCCACTCTGGGGGTCGCCTCCCTCCCCCTGGACCACACCCCTCTCTTTCTCTTCTTCTTCTTTCGCTGCTGCTGCTGCAGGAGAAATCTCTGCCTCTGTGGCCACCCTTCCTGTTCCTCCTCTTTCTTCATCTTCTTCTTCTTCTTCTTCGTCTTCTTCTTCTTCTTCTTCTTCCTCCTCCTCCTCCTCCTCTCCTCCTCGTCCTCTTCCTCCTTCACCATCAACTCTCCCTTCTTTCTCCAGCTGGGGGTCACTTTCTTCCTCCCAGTCTTCCTCGCCTTCATCTGCGCCAGGGCCCGGCGTCTCTGTCCCTGTGGGCTGTGCTTCCTCCGAGCCAGAGGAGGGTGCAGGGCCCAGGGGTCCCCCTTCCCTTCCTGCCCCTTCCTCCCTGAAGGGCTCATCCTCCTCGGTCTCTGCTTCCCTGGCTGCTTTTTCATCGTCCAGCTCCAGGACGCCTGGTGCCAGTGGGCTTGGTGGCTCCACCACATCCACCGTGGGGAGAGAAGTGCCACCTGAGTCCTCCGCCCCAGTGGCACCTGCAGTCTCTTGGCCCAGGTCGGTGGCCTCCTCCTGTGTGAGGTTGTCTTCTTCCCCCACCTCAGAGGACTTCCAGAGGCTCGGAGGGGGGTCTCCACCGTCCCCCTCGGGATGCTCCCCTTGCTCCTTCTCAGCCTCCTCTCCCGCCGAATCCTCCTCCTCCTCCTCCGTGGGCGTGGCTGAGCGTGGCGGACCTTCTTCAAGGCTGACTTGACCCCTTTCTCCCTGCCCCTCGGCATCAGGGCCCCCCTCCGTGGCATCCTCCGGCTCGGTCACCTGGCCAGGGCTGACTTCGGGGCAGCCAGGCTGCGAGAGGCCGGCGGCGGCGTGGGCATCCAGGTCCACGCCCATCTCGGCGGCTGCTTTGAGGCTGCCTGTGCGCGGGAGGGGAATCCTTGCCCCAGGAGGGGTGGTGGGAGCGTCTCCGTACAGCAGCATCTCCTTCTCCACTAAACGTGGCTCTCCAGGCAACAAGGCACCCTCAGCAAAGGTGGCAGCGTCTTCCGTGCCAGCATCCCGGGCAGAGGCTTGCAGTTCTAAATGGTTAGAACACGATCAGTCAGTTTGGTCGGCTGCCTTCTCCTGGCCCGACTCCGACTCTCTCCTCAAAACTGCCCACGTGTTGTTGGTTTTTTTGCACACACGACTCTGCGGGAGAAGCAGAGCGAGCACCCTCTCCTATCCAAGTGAGGTTGGAAGCCGAGGCACAATCCGAGTTTCTCCTAAGTACCTTTTCTGCTCCTACCCAAACCGCGCCCCCCCCCCGGCTTGGAATCCAGCTCTCTTTTCCTGCCCCTCTCAATATCCCTGTCCCAGGTAGGATCGGAAAGAAATCGACCCTGGATCTCATGGGCGGGGCTCAGCAGGCGCCCCCCCCCGTCCCGGCCTCTTTGCTGGGCTTCTTGCTTTCCTGCTCTGCAGCAAGCACCCAGAGAAAGAAAACAGCTGGGGGAGACTCTCAGATCACAGATTGCAGAACGGGAGAAGAGTAGAGGGGCGGGCCGTGGCGGCGGGCGGGGGGGGGCAGCATTTCCGGGCGCCCTGAAAGATTTTTAGCACATTCCAGGCCTTCCCAGGTAGCTCCGAGGGCCTTGGAAAGCTCCCTTCTCTCTCTCTCTCTCTCCCCCCCCCCCCCCTTCCCCAAACCCTGGAGTGCCTTCTTCCTGCTTTTCCTTCCCCTGGAGGCCAGGAAAGGACAAGATTTTAAACAGAGGAGGAAGCCGGGCTCAGTAGCCTTCCCGGCTGCTTTGCTTGCCGCTGTTTGGCTCCTTCCGAAATAAAGGAGCCTGAAGCAAGCAGCCTCCGCCTGCGAGGCTCCTTTTCACAAGATACATTTGCACGCGCGCGCACACACACACAAACACACGGAACTGGCTAACCCAAACCAGGGCTGGGTGGGATCTGCGTCTGGGTGGCAAGGGCTCTGGGGTGCGTGCAGGGAGGGCCCATTGCCGCCCCCTCCCACCCCACCCCACTCCACCTGAAGTCTGGCCTCCATGTCTGTTGTGTCCCTGACGCTCTCCTGAACCATATGGCTCCTTCCGAAATAAAGGAGCCTGAAGTGGCCATCATCCCAGGAAAGGAGGGGAGGGGGCCCAGCCACCCCCTCCACAGGCGCTCAGCTGGCCGTTATGTCTCACTCGCCAACTGAGGCTCCATCGAAAGTGTTGGAAATCAAGCCACCTCCATTAGCAACAGCTGCGGCTCAGTCAAATAATCCCCCCAACGCACGCACACCCACATGTGTGGGTCCCTCGCCTCAAGCCTAAGCTCTCCCTTTGTACTTTGCATAGCTCTTCCGTGGGGCAAGCCCTGTCCCTCCACCCTTTGCAAAAACCAGCAAAGGCAGAAGGGGGCTCTGGGGGTGGGGGTCCAATTCATCTAGGGAACAGCCTGGTGGGGAGGGGGGCTTCCTCTCCATGCCTCTTCCCAGGCCTTCCAGAGGGCACAATCCCTTCTGGGCAACCCCCCCACCCCGGGCCCCCTTCCCGAGTATGGAATGGCGCTGACTCGCAGGCAGCAGGCAAGCAAGCGGGCGTCAGCCTCCAGCAGAAGGGGCTGAAGGTTACGGGCTTAACACCCGGCAGCCTCCCTCACGAGGCTAAAAATACCTCCCCTCCAGCCACTGGGGGGGGGGAAGCCGCCCTGGCCGGCCGGCCGGCCACCCTGTGGGGTCCATTCTCCCCTTGCAGCGCTCCTTCCTTCCCTGGCCGAGCCCCCACCCCGCGGGGAAGGAAGGCTGAGAGAGAGAGGGAGGGAGGGAGGGAGGGAAGGAAGGAAGGAAGGGGAGAGTCCTTGGTTCCTTTGGCAGCTGGGGAGGAAACGCTCAAGCATGTCCCGCATGCCGAACGTCGTCAGCTGACTCTCCGGGACGACTCCTCGGCGCTGGCTGGCTGGCTGCCGCCGGTGCCGCGCCGGTGCTGTGCCAAGGGCTCGTGGATGCCACAGAAAACAGGGCAGGCCAGATGCCAGCCGGGGTTGCGGGGGGGGGGGTGGCTGAGGTCAGGAAGGAGGTTGGGCTCCGGCCCCCTCCCCGGCATCACCCTTTCCCTCATGGGCGCAGCTCAAGGGCTTCACTGAAGGCAGCCGGCTTTCCTCACACGCCCCCCCCGTCTGTTTTTGCCGGATGCTCTCCTGCCCCTGAGGACTCCCAGAGCAGAGGGGGGTGGGGTGGGGGTGTCTCTAGGGCAAGAGGTAAACAGAAGGCAAGAGGCACAAAGAGTGCCGATGCCCGCGAGCCTCAGGGGAGCATCGGGCGGGGGGGCGGGCGAGCGGGCGTCCGGCGGCTCCATTCGCACAAACTCTTGATGCCGCCGCCCAGAGGGATCTTGACCTACCCCCTTCTGACATGCCCCCTCTCCTGCCACGTGCCGATGATTCACGCCTTGCCGACTTTCCCCAAGTCTGGCCTGAGGGTGGCCACCTTTCCCCAAGCCCTCCCTCTCCGGCCCTTTTCACCCACGGCAAAGCCGGAGTAAAGCCCTGTCCTAAAGCCTGGCCGCACCGTCTCTCCAGTCAACCACTCAAAGCCAAGAGTTGGCGCGTTTCCAAACTCTGCTCTCCTCCGCATTCTTCCGCGCCCTAAACCAAGTTCACACGTGGCGCAGAAGGGCGCGCTGGCGTCTCTAAACACGGGAAACCAAGTCCAGGTCCTTCCTTCCGCGCGGCCAGGGGCGCGCCCTCTAGTGGACACAGCGGCGGAAAGGCCGGGTGGCGGCTCAGGGGAGAGCCCGGTTTCGCCACCTGGACGGACAGGTGGAGGCGCGCGGGGGCCAGCCCAGCCCCCTCGGCCTCTGCCCTGCCCCCGGCCTTGCCGACGAGAACAGGGGCTGCCGGGCGTGCGGGACAAGGGCTGGCCAAGCGCCGCCCCGGCTCCTCGTGGCCGTCCCGGAGAGGCCGAGCCGAGGCGCCCCAGCCGAGGGCTGGCCAAGCGCCGCCCCGGCTCCTCGTGGCCGTCCCGCCGAAGAGAGGCCGAGGCGCCCCAGCCGGAGGGCTTGCGGAGCGCCAAGAGAGGCGCAGCAGCCCAAGTGGGAAGCGGCCGGACGGGACCGAACAATAACCAAAAGTGGAGCAGGGAGGCGGGGGGGGGAGCCCCTAAAAGGCAGGACCCAGGGGGACTCCACGGGCTCGTCCAAGCAATAAGGGGCGGTCTTTCACCCAGATGGCGGCCTGCCCGCTGCAGAGCGAAACAGTTGCAGGACCCCTCGCCGCCGGCGAGCCCCCTGGGCCGGCGACCCCCCCTGTGCCGGAGAGCCCCCTGGGCCGCAGCAGCAGCCAAAACCAGAGACATGTTTCGAGCGGGCCAGGCTTCTCCCGCCAGGAAGCGTCCAGCGAGACGTCTTAGCAAAAGGGACCTCGGAGCGGCTGGACGTAGCTTTTGGGGAAGCTCCAGCTCCTGCTCGTCATCGCCGCCGCCCCCCCCCCAACCGTTATTTCTGGCTGTCCTGACCTGGGCAACCCTAGCAGGTCTAAAAATAGCCCCGCCCGCGTCCTGCCTCTGTGCCTGGATTTCGCTGTGTGGCCTCTGCCCACTTGGGGGGAGGGGGGGCGGCAGCAGGAAGATTCAGCCTGAATACTGGTGGGCATCCTAAGGAGGGACCGTTGCCTTCCCAGGCGAAGCGGTGGGCACAGGGTGGCCCCCGGGCTCTCTTAAGAGGCTAAGGCAGAGGGAGAAGCGCCCCCCCCCGCCACCGCTGTGGAAAGCCTCCCGGGCTCCCCTGTGCCACCTGCATGGGAGGCGAGGGAGGGAAGGACCAGGGAGAAGGGGGAGGACTGCAGAGCGAGCAGTGGGGGGGGGAGTGTGTGTGACAGGTTTGGATCGCCCCCCTTCCCTGGAAGAGCAGGAGGCCGGAAGGAGCCTCAGGAAGGGGAAGGGGGACAAGCAACGCGTGCCCGCAGGAGAGATGGGGAGCTCCTGACAGCCCTCAGCCCCACAAGTGGCATCCTGGCTTCACCTTGCCTCATCCTTGAACGGGGCACCTGGGGAAAGCACCCTTGCCACACGAGGGGTACCTGCGCTGCTACGCTCTGGAAAGCCCCCCCCCCCGCTCTGTCCCCTGAGAGCCAGCGGTGGCGAGGGGGGTGGCCGACGGAGAGGAAGGAGGCGCTCCCAAGCCTTGGGAACCCACCACTCCGGGAAAGACACCGCTGCTCGCCACCCCTGCAGGTTCCATGTCCACCTGGCTCAGGTAAGGCTTGGTGGTCGTTCTTCACGGTGGATTCAGCAGGAAGGCTTGGGGGGGGGGAACAGCCTTCTTCATCCCTCCCCAAACCTGTCCTCCCCAGCTGTCCCCAGCGCCGGGAAAAGGGGGTCTCGGTGGGCCAGCTGGTCGTGCGCCGGACAGAAGCGGAGAGAGCCGCCTCCTTCTTCTCCAGCCAAGCGGTACCCTTAGCACCACTCGGCAGAAGAGGAAGGGAGCACCGCTCCAGGAACAGCCCGCTGAGATGCCAGGGAGGTATGAGGGAGGGGGGCTTGCCCAGGTCAGCCAAAGACCTGGCTTCCCTTCGCTGCTCCAAGGATGCTCCAGTTACAGGACAAGCTCTGCTCAGCCCAGCCTTCCACACACACCCCACCCAAGGCCCCACTCTGGCAGCGAGACGGGCCTCACGGCTGGGGTGGGGGGTACCAGGGCCCAGCGCAGGGTGGCACCCCACCAAAAGCAAGACGCCTGGGCCCAACCCCAACCCCCCATGCCACCAACTCCAGCAAGGCTCCACAGTGAAGTTGGAGAACAAGCCGGACCTGGGCACAGGAGGCAGCGGGAGTGGGTGGGGCCGCACACCCCACCCCTTTTTGTTCTTGGGGATGAGAAAGGATGGCCTTAAATGGAGGGCAGCCTCGGCTCCAAAGCTGGGCTGACACTGTGAGAAGGCAGCAGCTGGCCTGGCTGGGCCAAGCAGCCGAGAGAGGACGGGCAGGCAGGCAGGCGGGCAGGGGGGCAGGGGGCAGGCAATAGGGGGGAGGAGGAGGAGGAGGAGGAGGAGGAGGCCCTCTGGGGGTCCAGTTACATGCCTGTTTCCATACTTAGCCACCGCCAGGCAGGGAGGAAGACAGCCCTCCACCAGAGAGACCAAATTAACTCAAGGGCAAGCAAGGGGATGAGGGCTGCACCGGCAGGGACCCTCCACCTCTGCCCGCCGGTCCCCCACGCCACGGCGGGGCGGCTCAAGGCATCGCACAGCACCTGGGCGGTGCCCTGCACGATGCCAAGGGCGTGGGAGGCAGATGAAACCCAGAGCCAAGAAGCCAGTTGCTGCGGCAGTGGGGGGGGGGGGGGAAAAAGAAGCCCCCTCCACTGCCCCCCCTCCCCTCCTTCTGCCCCTCCTCCCCGGTGCAGCTCGTGGCCGGGAGCGCTGATCCTGGGCCGCTCACCCACGCGCACACATGCAGCTGCCCTCAAGCCTGGCCCCCCCCCGCCTCGTACCTGCCCTCCCGAGGAGCAGCAGTGGGGCCACGCAGCAACAGAAGAGCCCGAGTGCCCTCATAATCGCGGTGGCCGGCAGGACCTCTCGGGGCTTCTCCGGGTCTATTTATACCCCGGTGGGCTTGTGGAGGCTCAGCAGCGGCAGCTGGCCGGCAGCTCGGTCGCAGGGCCCCGCACAGATGGCGCCGGGTGCTGGACTGCCCGCTGCCCCTCCCTGGCCAGCCACTTCAGCCCCCGCGTGTCAGTCACCCGGGCCCGGCCCGGCCCAAGTAGGGAGAACGAGGAGGAGCGAACACAGGACAGCCCAGCAGTCGCGGGGGGGGGGAGGCTGGAAAGCAGGGAGGGAGGACCCCCCCACACACACACACACCTTCTGATCACTCCAGCGAGCTGGTCTGACTGGAACTCAAGCAGCTAGTCCTCTTGGCTACAGAGGGGAGTCAGCATTTATCCCTGAAAGGAGGAGGAAGGGGTGTCTCTCTGGCATTTTAATTTCATTTGCCACCAACGAAGTGGCCCTCACGCGATTGCTCGTTAGCACAGAGGCCAAAGCGAAGCCCTGACAGGCCCAATCCAGAAGCCTTTTGCTAAGAAAGTTTTTTTTTTAAAAAAAACACTCTGGAAGAACGAGGCACCCCCTGTGAGACCAGACCTTGCCTTGCGGGGTGGGGGGGAGGCGATGGCGGCGGGGGAGCAGGCAGGCACCGGCAGCCCCAAAGAAGGGGAGATGACCGAGGCAGAGCCCTCGGGCGGGTGGGGGCGTCAGGCAGGCCTTCTTCAGCCACCCGGGGAGCTGCTGGGGTCGTCTTGGTCCTTGAGGGAGGCAGAGGCCCCGTGGGTCAGGCGGCCACCTCCTCTCCCCCTTTTCTGCTTTTGGATGCCCCCCCCAAGCTCCCTCCCCGGATTCTGTGCCTCCCTCTCCGCAGCTGCTCGGGCCAGGCTCCTTCCCCATTGAATCCTCAAGCATTGGAACAGGAAGACGCACAACGGGATCAACACCACCACGGCCCTGCTGCCTGGGGGGGCTTCCACCGTCACCCTCTCCTCCCTCCGTCAAAACAACAGCCCCGGGGGGGGGCTGACGTAGCTGGGAGGCCAACCTGCTTCACGTTCTTATTTCCACCACACACACACACCCCGCTCCCCATCATCTGTGAAAATCCCGGTGCACAGAGCGAGGGGGCAGCCGGAGACGCTGCGTCTAGCGCTGAAGTCCCGGCAAGCGGGTCCGGTCCTCGGCCAGCGAGCCCTCCTGCACAAGGCAGCACCTCCAGGGGCACCGAGGTGGCCATAAGCTCCCCCCCCCCGTGAAGGGAGCCTCCTGGGATTCCCCGGCCAGGTCCAAGGGCCCACCAGCCAGCTGACCCACTTGGAGTGGCAGGCGGTCTTTGCCCGACACACCGACTTTTCCCGGCTGTAAGGCCCCCCCTCCACCTCCACCCACGAGCAGGGGGGGAGCCTGCTTAGCATTCACCCCACGGCCTTCCTCTGAGCCCCTGGTGGCAGGGTTGGGGGGGGGGTTGCTGATTGTCCTCCCTTGGCAGGTCTGGCGTTCCGGAAGGGCTCCCTCTGCTGGGCATCCCGAAAAAGACAGGCAATGAAGTCCACGTTCAAATACAGTACCCTCTTAAAAGGTGGAGCCAAGTCAGAACTACAGTACTGGCAAAATGTTATTATTTTCTAAGGTTTTCCAGCAGACATGGGGGGAGGAGGGTCTGTCCCAGAGAGGTAGAGCTGCTCTTTGCTGGAGGGAGAGGTGGGGGGCCAGTGACCCCCATAAACCCCAACCCCCCATCCCACAAATCTGACTTGCAAACGTCTAAAAAACAAAGTACAAACTTTATTTTGTTTCTTTACAAAGGCACAAGCCTCATTTTCCCCACTTTCTTAACAAAATATAATAGCATCTCAATGAACACGAAGACCCAAAAATTGTAAAAAAAACAGAAAACAAAACAAAAAAAACCCATACAAAAAAACCAAACAACCCTGGCTACCCACCCTGTGTCCAAAATGGCAACATCTGCACTCAAGAAGGCCAGATGTGCAAACTTGGGGAACATGTCAATGTTCCCAAAAGCACTTGTTTGCTGCAGAGGGTCTAAAAGCGGAAGGGATGAAGGAAAGAAATGGAGAGCATCCTCAAAGAGGACATGGCAAATTGTCGAACTGGAACCGTGCAAAGGAACATTCTAACCTGCATTATTTTATTATAGGTCACATTGTATTCTTAGAATGAAGAATTATTTTTCTTTCTTAGAACGGCTCACATTTCACATTCCTGGGGTAGCAGTTTATAGTGAGTGTGTTTTGATAGTTTCAGATACATATCTGAATAGCAAGGGCTAGAAGCTTGACGCTTTAAAAACACCATGGCCCATATTTTGAGGATGATGCCAGATCCAGTGCCATTTTGTATGCACCAGAATTTTACAGAAGATGAACTGTTTCGCTGGTTACTGGTCTGCAGAGTATTAGAGGAGCTTGTGTGCAAATATTTGGCTCGGAAGAGCCGAGATTTCCCTCAGGTGAACTTCTTATGAAAGAACTCCAGTGTGTTTTGAAGCGGAGGCAGGGGAAGAGTGCTCGGCACCAGTGTTTTGGCCAAAGTCTGAAGATCCCACGTAAGAGACTGGAGAAGGCAACAGAAAAACGGGGAGGGAGGGGGCCCTACCAAATACCCACCGGCCACAAACAGCGCTGGCCTTCTTGACCACCTCTAGCCCAACTGGGTGGGTGTTGGGGAGGGGGAGGCAGGGGGGGGAGCAGAACACGCAACAGAAAGCAACCATCACAGATCAGGGAATGCTCTTGTGGTCGGCCGGACCCTCAGGATCAATTAAGTGCTTCAAAAAAAGGGAGGGAAAGGCCCAGCGTAGATTTCCGGAGGGGCACAAACACGGACCTTCACCCTCTCAAGTTGCGCAGTTTTAAAGAAGGGGGGGTTTCCCTCTTCCTTCCCCCCCCCGCCCGCATCCCTGGGCCGGGCCGAGGGGAAGGTGTGAGATCAGAAGGAGCCCCTGAGGAGGAAGGAGAGCTCAAAGATCAGGCGGG